GCCACGCCTGGACCCGCCATGGACCGCAGTGAATACGCCCACCGGTGTCACTGCCATGGCGTGTCCGGCGTGTCACAGGTCATGGCGTGTCCGGGCGTGATCACTGGTCCATGGCGTGTACGGCGTGTCAACTGGTCCATGGCGTGTACGGGCGTTCACTGGTCCATGGCGTGTCCCGGGCGTGTCACTGTCCCAGCCGTGTTCACTGTCATGGCGTGTCCAGGCGTGTCACTGGTCCATGGCGTGTCCGGCGTGTCACTGCTGACCGTGACGTGTCCACCCGGTGTGTCCACAGGTCCATGGCGGGTCTCTAGTCCATGGCGTGTCACTGGTCCATGGCGTGTCCGGCGCGTGTCACTGTCCATGGCGTGTCCAGGCGTGTCACTGGTCCATGACGTGTCCCACGGTGTGTCACAGGTCCATGACGTGTCCACGACCGTGTCACTGGTCCTGGCAATGTCCGGCGCGTGTCACTGTCCATTGACGTGTCCTATGGCGTGTACTGGTCCATGGCGTTCCAGCATGTCATCTGGTCCATGACGTTCCACGGCGTGTCAGGTGTGAGCAGGCCCGGACACGTCATGGACCAGTGAGTCGCCTGGATACACGCCATGGACCGAGACACGCATGGACCAGTGACAGACGCCTGGAACACTTCATGACCAGTGACACGCCATGACACTTCATGGACTACAGTGCCACGCCATGGACAACGTCATGGACCATTGACACGCCAGGACACGCCATGGACCCGGTGAAACGCCATGGACAAGTGACACGCCGGACACCGCCATGGACCAGTGACAACAGCCATGGACACAATCATGGACCAGTGACACGCCATGTGACACGTCATGGACAGTGACACGCCATGGACGACGCATGGACCAGTGACACGCCTGACACGCCATGGACCAGTGACACATGCCTGGACACGCCATGGACCAGTGACACGCCCTGGACACAAAAAACTCCATGGACCAGTGACACGCCGACCAACTTCATAGACCATTGACACGCCATGGACCACAAGCTCAGGACCAGTGACACGCCATGGACACGTCATGGACCAGTGACACGCCTGGACACGCCATGGACCAGTGACACTCCATGGACCAGTGAATACAGGCCATGGACCAGTGACACCCATGGACCAGTGACCACGCCTGGACACGTCATGGACCATGGACACGCCTGACGTGTCCGGGCCGTGTCACTGGTTCATGGCGTGTCCAGGCGTGTCACTGGTCCCATGGCGTGTCCAGGCGTGTCACTGGTCTCATGCGTGTCCGCGCGTGTACCACGTGGTCCATGACGTTCAAGGCGTGTCACTGGTCCATGGCGTGTCCTCGGGGATCACTGGGTCCATGACGTGTCCTGGGCAGGTCACTGGTCCATGGGCATGTCCGAAGCGTGTCACTGTGTCCCTGACGTGTCTATGGCGTGTCCAGGTGTGTCACTGCTCCGTGACGTTCCCACCGCGTGTCACTGTCCATGGCGTGACCAGGCTGTCCACTGGTCCATTGACGTGCTGGGTGTGAGCAGCCTGACACGCCAAGGGACCAGTGACCGCCATGGACCATTGACACATCATGGACCATGACACGCCTGGACACAGCCAACGGACCAATGACACCTTGGACAGCGCCACGCCGGACACGAGCCATGGACCAGTGACACGCCACGCCGTGTCACACGTCATAGACCAGTGACACGCCTGGACACGCCACTGACCAGTGACACGGCACGCCATGTCACTGGTCCATGGCGTGTCCGGGTGTGTCACTGGTCCATGGCGTGTACGGGCGTGTCACTGGTCCATGGCGTGTCCGGGTGTGTCACTGGTCCATGCCGTGTCACTGGTCCATGGCGTGTCTAGGCGTGTCACTGGTCCATGGCGTGTCCAGGCGTGTCACTGGTCCATGACGTGTCCACGGCGTGTCACTGGTTCCATGGCGTGTCCGGGCGTGTCACTGGTCCATGACGTGTCCATGGCGTGTCCAGGCGTGTCACTGCTCCGTGACGTGTCCACGGCCTGTCACTGGTCCATGACGTGTCCATGGCGTGTCACTGGTCCATGACGTGTCCACCGTGTCCACACTGTGTCACAGGTCCATGGCGTGTCCAGGCGTGTCACTGGTCCATGACGTGTGACCTGGACACGCCATGGACCAGTGACACGCCAAGGACTAGTGACACACCTGGACACGTCATGGACCAGTGACACGCCATGGACACATCATGGACCAGTGACACGCCATGGACACGTCATGGACCAGTGACACGCCTGGACACGCCATGGACCAGTGACACGCCATGGACCAGTGACACGCCTGGACACGTCATGGACCAGTGACACGCCTTGACGTGTCCGGGCGTGTCACTGGTTCATGGCGTGTCCAGGCTTGTCACTGGTCCATGGCGTGTCCAGGCGTGTCACTGGTCCATGGCGTGTCCAGGCGTGTCACTGGTCCATGACGTGTCCATGGCGTGTCCAGGCGTGTCACTGGTCCATGACGTGTCCAAGGCGTGTCACTGGTCCATGACGTGTCCATGGCGTGTCCAGGCGTGTCACTGGTCCATGACGTGTCCAAGGCGTGTCACTGGTCCATGGCGTGTCCGGGCGTATCACTGGTCCATGACGTGTCTGGGCATGTCACTGGTCCATGGCATGTCCAGGCGTGTCACTGGTCCATGACGTGTCTATGGCGTGTCCAGGTGTGTCACTGCTCCGTGACGTGTCCACGGCGTGTCACTGGTCCATGGCGTGTCCAGGCGTGTCACTGGTCCATGACGTGTCTGGGTGTGAGCAGCCTGGACACGCCATGGACCAGTGACACGCCTGGACACGCCACGGACCAATGACACGCCCGGACACGCCATGGACCAGTGACACGCCATGGACCAATGACACGCCTGGACACGCCATGGACCAGTGACACGCCTGGACACGTCATGGACCAGTGACACGTCATGGACCAGTGACACATCATGGACCAGTGACACGCCATGGACCAGTTACACTTCATGGACCAGTGACACGCCGTAAACACGCCATGGACCAGTGACACGCCTGGACACGTCATGGACCAGTGACACGTCATGGACCAGTGACACGCCATGGACCAGTGACACACCTTAGACCAGTGTCACACCTGGACACGCCTTAGACCAGTGACACACCTGGACACGCCTTAGACCAGTGACACACCTGGTGGGGAAGTGATTAGGAGTGGGCAAAATATATCGTAGACAATAATTTCGTGAATGCCAATTTGAAGATATGCTTTATTGTATTATCTTTTTTATTTTCCAATACATATTACAATTAGAGAAGGAAAGATGCCCATTGGTCTAATGTGTGCCTAAAAAGCCAATCACTGCTTTATTTGTACATTTCAGTAAATATTGAGCCTTTTTGGATGTGTTTTTTCTGTGTTTCTTGAATCTGATTTTTAATGTTAATATATGTTAGTGCATGTTTTGCAAAGATGTGTGTAGCACTTCAGAAAATAAAAAGCTTCATTTTTGATCTACACTGTCTCTTATCTATAGATTCCATGGCAAGCAAAACATTGCAGATCATTTTGTGTAACCATTTTTTATTTTAAAGATATCGTGACAATGTCGTTATCGGGAGTTGGGTATAAAGTATCAAGATATTTATTTTTGTCCATATCGCCCACCCCTAGATGTGATGCATGCTTGCAGATTGGCAGTTGAGTTCTGGTGGATACAGATATAGTTTGTGTGTGATTGACACGTCTCTGTTGGTAAGAGGCAGTTATGTCTGTAAACCTTTTGTTGCTTGATCTCATTTTATTTTAGAATGGAGTGATTGTAGATGTACCATCTATTTAAGTGCAGGATAGAGACGGTGAAGCCAGTTGAAACTAGGAATAACTGGAATTCAGTGAAGGTATCAAGGGAATACATGACAAAGTTTGGCAGTAGACTGAAGAATAAGCTCTACACGTGTTTGCAGAGACAATTCAAACTCTTAAAAAAGCAATCCTCCATAGATTATTGATTATTATAATGATGTGCCTCAGTCTCTTTGGCCTCATTATCCATGTGTCCTTTCAGAACAGGTTATCCACACTGTATGTGTGTGTTGACCTGGCCTTACACACCATGTGTCCTTTCAGAACAGGTTTTCCACAGTGTATGTGTGTGCGGACCAGGCCTCACAGACCATGTGTCCTTTCAAACCAGGTTATACACAGTGTATGTGTGTGCGGACCAGGCCTCACAGACCATGTGTCCTTTCAAACCAGGTTATACACAGTGTATGTGTGTGCGGACCAGGCCTCACAGACCATGTGTCCTTTCAAACCAGGTTATACACAGTGTATGTGTGTGCGGACCAGGCCTCACAGACCATGTGTCCTTTCAAACCAGGTTATACACAGTGTATGTGTGTGCGGACCAGGCCTCACAGACCATGTGTCCTTTCAAACCAGGTTATACACAGTGTATGTGTGTGCGGACCAGGCCTCACAGACCATGTGTCCTTTCAAACCAGGTTATACATAGTGTGTGTGTGTATGATGACATCACTGACCTTGTAAACCACACTGTCCTTATAGACCGTGTTTTTGAAAAGTCTTTACAAACCCCTGAAAAGTCTTGAAAACAGTCATTTTTTATATCTCAGTGCAGCAAAGGAAATCTTTAAATTTTAAGCCGTGTATAGGTTCTGTGATTTTTTTCATGATCATTGATATGATTTTCGAGGCTCTAGCACCACGGGAACCCAGTGTCCCCGTATACCTATGTACAGTCTGGTTTAAAGGGATTTTAGAAAAAATGTCCTTACAACGTCTCAAACGGGTATGTGTGTGTGTGTGTGTGTGTGTGTGTGTGTGTGTGTGTGTGTGTTGGGGTGTGCAAACGGTGAGGACTTCCCCAGACAGAGGTAGTGGGGCTGGGGTTAAAATTAGGCCTGTATAGGGGTGGGAGAACCAGACTGTCTGACCTGTCTCCCCAGAAAGGAGCTCTCAAAATTGGGCTTTAAGGAACCCGTGCATAGCCAAAGAACCAGGGCTCCTATTCCACCAGTCTCCAGCTTTCTGGACAGCGTTCTGGACAGTGTTCTGGACAGTGTTCTGGACAGTGTTCTGGACAGCGTTCTGGACAGCGTTCTGGACAGCGTTCTGGACAGCGTTCTGGACAGAGTTCTGGACAGCGTTCTGGACAGCGTTCTGGACAGCGTTCTGGACAGCGTTCTGGACAGCGTTCTGGACAGTGTTCTGGACAGTGTTCTGGACAGCGTTCTGGACAGCGTTCTGGACAGCGTTCTGGACAGAGTTCTGGACAGAGTTCTGGACAGCGTTCTGGACAGAGTTCTGGAGGGAAGAGAGCGTTTTGGGGCGAGGCTTCTCTGTTCAACTCAACACAACTCAGAGCGGAGAGGGAAGGACACAGCGGCCGAGGTGGAAGGAAAAAAGTTTAAAATACGCTTTAATTAGGACATAAAAGTTACTTCTAATAACATTTGAGGCGATAAATACCCCCCTCTATTGCCATATCGGAGGTCTGTTTGGGGATCAAATAGAACATTGTCGGACTATTCTTCTGGTGCTGACAGCGAGGGTTGGGCAGTGTTCAAGCCGAGAACAGACTGTATATATTAACGGACAGAGTCACGCCTATCTCCGCCGTTCTAACTAATGGGCCAAATAATGTGCTCTACTGGAGCTATCCAAAATGGCCGCGAGTGGTCCCGCCCACAAAAAAATTGTGAAAAAACACATCTGCGCATGCGTCAGCCGGCGCAGCTCCAGTCATTTGAACGAGAGACTTCAGAAATTCACAGCAAGTAAACTAGAGTGGACCAAAACACCCCCCTCAGCATTGACACACATGTGGAACGGAGCTTTGGGCCAAGAGCCAACTTTTGGTCTATCCTGTAAAGACGTTTTTGAGAGGTAAGTAAGTAAGTAAGTAAGTAAGTAATCTTTATTTATATACCGCCTTTCACAGACCAGAGTCACAAAGCGGTTTACAATTGTTATTTTTGGGCACTTGTCCTCTCACTCCACAGAGAGATTGGAGCGGGGTCGCCGAACAGGAGGCGCATGCCAATCCTATTATACATATTTTTAGTGGTAGGGGAAACCGGAGTACCCGGAGGAAACCTACGCAGACACGGGGAGAACATGCAAACTCCACTCAGAAAGGCCCTGGTCCGGCCGGGATTCGAACCCAGGACCTTCTTGCTGAGAGGCGTGAGTGCTATCCACTCAGCCACCGTGCCGCCCGAGAGGTCTGCTAACGCTATATGTTAGCATTGGCTAATTCTTCTTCTGGGTCCCCCCCCATCGGCCCGGAGTGGTATTGCAGCATGTCAGCGCACGTCATTTTGGCCACTTTTGAGCTGGGACCCTCCCCCACTGGTCTCAACGCTGGGGAAGCATCAGTGGAGCTCTCACAATCTTCATTCTGAAAACCCAAAGACAAGGCTTTTGTTACGGACTTTCTCTGTTATAACAATTGTATTGGCAGTAATCATTTGTTTTTATAAAGTGATATTTGATGTAAACAATTACACATGTGTGCGATAAATGATTATTATAAAGGATTGATATATTTGCTATGGCCTCGTTTGTGCATCACTTACAAGTCATTTGTATCAGGTGTGTTTGCTGATGAGAGAGGAACATCCATAATAATAAGATCAGTAAAAAGGACTTGAACACAGGAGATGTCTGACACTGCTCTTTAGAAGTGGCTCACTCCACACTAAACTGTACCATTGCTCCATCTAACTTCAAGCGACAATAACATAAATGTATCAACTACAAATATTTGTACCTAAACATTTTTAATACTCTGCATGTTTGGTTCTTTGGGAATAGTCACAAATACGGGGGTAGTAGTATTTATGTTCATGGGTAATGTCACGGTTTGTAATTCATGGGCGGGCGCAGTGACGCATCTTTAAGTTCTGCATAACGCACCTGTGACTGTAACGTGCTATTAACAAGCGAAGCCGTGGTCAGGAGCACACAGCCCGCTGGTGTTCACAAAACGTAAAGAGCCCAGTGTAGTAACTAGTGACGGGTAAATGAAACGTCACGTATCGTTTCGGCACATCCAACAAACTGTATTGATCTGTGCCGCAGCAGTGTTGCTTGTGCTGCTCTATAGCGACGCCTGGTGGATCTTATACATCATTGCATCGTACTCACTGATTCAATGACCTTTACTTACCTGCACGTTACGTTACTGCATTGTCTGTGTTATTATTTAACATTTATGTGAACATTAAAGTGATAGTTGTGAATGTGTTTATAAGCAAGATGTCATTGAGTGTTTTATATATTTTTATTCAAAATAATAAGCATGTCCAAATGTTGCCATGCACTGTAAACCCTGGCAACAAAAGTATACTTGAAAAAACCTTAGAAATAAATTGGACATTAACTCCACTTGAACTCCTGGAGCACATTCTTAACCTGATGTTGTCGACTGAACTCAGTTGATTGCAATAAAGATTGACTGTGATTTCAACTCTAACGTATCTACCAAGGTCCTGCTCCGACTGGGATTCGAACTCACATCCTTCTTGCCGTGAGGTGACGGTGCTATCTGCTTGGCCACCATGCCGCCCTGCTTTGAAAATAGCTAACCTGTATCACATGAATTATTATTGGTTGTAGATAAAGCATGAAATATGAATTACAAACTCTATCTTATTTGCTGTTAACAAGTCAAAATGATCCCACACTGCAGAATACTTTATTTAGTGGCGGGCTCCATTTTGATGCTGTAGAACGGGACGTTTTTAATTTTTGAAAGGGTTATTTTCTTTTTCTGAGAGAGATTCATCCCGGTGACACTGGCAGATGCGGCACCTTCAAACACAGTTTGGCGCGTCGGTGACAAGCGACACTGCATCTGTATCGGTCACGTGGCTTTTTCGGGGTTTCGCTAAATGAACTCGGCACATGCGCCGGTGTATCAGTGCTGCTGGACCCATCACTGGTGTTTATACCAGGTTGAACACACTGGTGTTCCCTCTGCATCTCTCTCCTGTCTTACCTCCTGCCTGGAGGAGATGGGGCTTGGATGAGGCAAAACTTCCTGCAGCTGAATGGCTCAAAAAGAAGCCCTTCAAAACTCCCCATCAACTTCACTCTTCTCCCATCACCTCAGTCTCTCTCTTAGGCCACAGCATTCCCCTCTCAGATTCAGATTTCAGATTCATTTTTATTCGCCATTTGCAGTAATACTACATTGGAATACATTAGTAAAAGTTCCCAGTGTGCACAGGACAAGTACAGACACAAAACAACATTAAAAGACAAAAATAAAACAAATTTTAAAAACAGTAAACAAATGTCGCCGTGAAGTTGACCAACTTAAAACAGATCTATACGAGTGCAAAAACATTAAAGTGCTCTATTCAAACTGTTAACAGCTCGTGGAAAAAAACTGTTAGCAAAACGAGATGTCCTGCATCTCAGAGAGCAGTATCTTCTGCCAGAGGGAAGAAGCTGGAACAAGGCTTTTCCTGGGTGGTCAGAAGAGTCATTGATAATTCTCAGGGCACTGTTAAGAAGTCTGGATTGATAAAGAGCCTCCAGGACAGGAAGTTCACAGCCTACAGTCCTCTTAGCAGAGCGGAGCACCTTGTTTAGAGCTCTCTTTTCTTTATCTGTGATGTTACCGAACCACACAGACACAGAACCAACAAGTAAACTCTCAATGGTGCAGCAATAAAAGTTCAGCAGAATCTTAGAGTTAGTGGTAAATTCTCTAAGTTTCCGCAGGAAGTAGAGACGCTGACGGGCTTTCTTTACGACCCGGTCAGTGTTTTTAACCCATTTCAGGTCATTAGACAGAGTTAGACCCAGAAACTTACACTCCTCTACAATCTGCACTTGGGAGTTATCGATTGCGACAGGCAAATGAGAACTATTGCGACTGAAATCAAAGACCAGTTTGCATGTTTTGGATGCGTTCAGCTGGAGGTTGTTAGCCTTACTCCACTGAACCACGTTTTGGATCTCGGCTCTATAAGACGATTCATCGTTATTACTGATGAGACCGATGATGGTGGTGTCATCAGCATATTTGATGATCAGGTTAGAGTCTGAGGAAGACACACAATCATGAGTGTACAGTGTAAAAAGTAAAGGACTCAAAATACATCCCTGAGGGGATCCAGTGCTCACAGAAACAACATCTGAAAAACAGTCATTGATTTTCACTCTCTGAGATCTGTCAGTTAAAAAGCTATAGATCCATTTACACATGGCAACACTTAAACCCAGAGACATGAGCTTTTCAATCAGTTTACCTGGGACAAGACAATTAAAAGCAGAGCTATAATCAATGAACAGCATTCTTGCAACAGATTTCCTATTGTCCAAGTGACTGTAGACAGAGTTCAGAGCAAAGGAGATGGCATCCTCCACACTCCTATTCTGTCTGTAACAAACTGGAGCGGGTCAACACTCACAGGGTTCTGGCTCTTAATAAACTCCAACACAAGCCGCTCAAAAGTCTTCATTAGGACAGAAGTGAGGGCCACAGGACGATAGTCATTCAGGCATGTCACAGGAGTTTTCTTAGGAACTGGGATAATGGTCGACTCTTTGAAGCAGTTCGGCACAGTACAGTTCCTTAGCGACAGGTTAAAAATGTCTGTTAAAACAGGGGCAAGTTGCTCAGAGCACAGTTTCAGGACACGAGGAGGGATGCCGTCCGGGCCTGGGGCTTTCCGGACAATGGTGCTGGACAAGACCCGCTGGACTGCCTCCTGAGTCACGGTGAACGCACCTTGATTGAGGCAATCAGGAAAGACAGTAGGACAGGCATCAGCAGATTCGAAGCGGCAGTAGAACGTGTTCAGCTCATTAGGCAGAGCTGGGCCAACAGATCCGATTTTCCCAGCACTAGGTTTCCAGGACGTGATGGCTTTAATACCGTTCCACATGCGCCGAGGGTCATCTTCCTTAAAATAACCCTTTAACCTGTCCCCGTAACTGCGCTTTGCAGATTTAATAGAACGTTTCAATGCATAACAGGATAGCTTATAGGCAACTGTATTGTTAGATTGAAACGCCAGAGCACGCTCATGAAGTTTTTGTTTCACTTCCGCGTTCATCCAAGGGTTTTGACTGAGATGTACTTTAATGACCTTCTGTGGGACACAGCAGTCAATACAGAAGCGTATGTATCCAGTCACAGCGTCACAGAATTCATTAACATCCTCTGATTGAAACACAGACCAGTCAGTGGCATCAAAACACCCTTGTAGCTTCATGCTAGCCTCCTCAGACCAACACTGCACAGTGCGTGAGGCTGGTTTATGTTCCCTGCTCCTCTGAGAGTATGAGGGAAGAAGGAGAACAGAGGAGTGGTCGGACTTTCCAAATGGAGGTCTGAGACTGGACCTGTAAGCTCCCTTCACGTTACTGTAGCAGTGATCCAGAACATGTGCTCCTCTTGTAGCTCGAGTCACATGACTGTACATTCGCCAGGTAGATGGAGGGCAGAGCGGTCCTGCAGGAGCGGCATCTCACGAGCAGACCGCCTCGTTTTCCCCGGTGTCTGCGCCTCCTACGTCGGCTCCCGGTACCCAGCTCCACACAGCTCTCTCCCTCTGTAACCAATCTCGGGGTCAAGTTTGACCCCCACCTTTCCTTTAAAAATCACATAAATCACATCTGCAAAACTTCCTTGTTCCACCTCCGTAACATTTTGAAACTCCGCTCTTCTCTCTCTCTCCCGGCTGCAGAGAAGCTCGTCCATGCCTTTGTCTCCTCCAGGTTGGACTACTGCAACGCACTCCTCATCGGGATCCCTGGCAGGAGCATTCAAAAGCTCCAGTACGTTCAAAAGCTCCAGTACGATTCAACATACGGCCAAATATAAAGTGTATTATAAATAACAATTATTGTTATTATTATTTTATTATATTGAACCTGCATTGTTTAGGTCTGTGTGTGTGGCTAATCTCATCCACTTTGTTTGAACTGATGGGGTGAGTTGGGGAAGTTAGCGCAGCAGGCAGAGCGCTCACGTTACCACAATGTGTATATAATCACAGAGATACAGGTGACTGTTGTAGGCTGCACGGGTGGGAGCGGAGAGATGTGGAGCACTGCATGTGTGGAGCGCTGCATGTGCGGAGCGCTGCATGTGCGGAGCGCTGCATGTGCGGAGCGCTGCATGTGCGGAGCGCTGCATGTGCGGAGCGCTGCATGTGCGGAGCTCTGTACAGAAATAGTTCTAACAGTAGGGTTGTTAAATGTGGTTTAATGAACGTCAGATCAATCTGGTCTAAATCGCTTCTCATAAACGAACTTATTATAGACAAGGGCTTGGATTTGTTTGCGCTCTCGGAGACTTGGCTCCAACAGGACGACTACGTTAGATTGAATGAGTGCACTCCTCCGACGCATGTTAACTACCAGAAAGCCAGAGCTACACGTCGCGGCGGCGGCGTTGCGATTATATCACACACCAACTTACTTCTTAGTCCCTTAAATGATTAAGAACCTTAAATGATAAATCTATCACAAGGTTCAAAGAACTAATACAACCTATGTTGAATACTGCTGCAGGTGAACCTGTTCACAGCTGCTGCAGTCCCTCAGTCATTGACCAAACGGTGGACAACACGATGGAGTCTTTAAAATCTGCATTAAATGCAGCAGCTCCTTTAAAACAGAAAACTATTAGGATTAGATCATCGTCGCCCTGGTACAGTGTTCAACTCCACACTTTAAAACAGGACGTCAGAAAACTGGAGAGGCTATATCGCCACTCCCACTCGGAGCCTGTCCACAGGGAGTGGAAAGCAGGTCTCCGAAACTACAAGAATGCCCTTCGCAGGGCTCGAACTCAATACTATTCAACTTTAAAGGTCCTATATCACGCTTTTCTTCATGTTTCACAGTCAATCCTATGCACATGTGTGATATTAATGTGTATGATACACCACACAACAATCAAAGCTTGTGAGATTAGAGCCATCTCTTGTATAGAGGTGACGTCATCTCGACTCAAACGAGCTGATCCAGAGAAGAGTCTGCTCCTCTGTCCGTGAGCCCGCCTCCCCCCGCCCGCACGCTGACGTAGCATCACGCTTTTGTCGTTTATCACCTGTACTTAGTAATTTCATACATAAGAATAAACTTTTTCCAACAATGACAATCCGTCACATCGAGCCCTATGTCCTCGATGCACAATCAGACCCTAGTTATTTAGTTTACAGAAGTATACAGCGAGTTAGCGTCACTACTTACAGATGGAGGGGGTCCGAGTTACGTCTTTTACCGTGGGAATAACGTGTTTCCAGATCAGCCTTTGAGTAAGTCCAGTTCCATTGTCCCTGTAGTTCTGGAACAGTCTCAGTGAAGTGTCGCAGATGAACCGGTTTATAATAGATCCATGAGATGAACAGATGAAAAAAGTCGAGCCACTTTCTTCTTCTTCGGGTCAAGTAGTGTGTCACATATTTACACCCATAACACACTTCATTCAAGTTGACGTGATCCTAACACTTTTAGTTTCTGACAAAAGCATAAAAACAGCAGCTCTATGTGGTGTCCGCGAGACCAGACCACAGACGCTGGACTCGGGAGCCGGAGCCTGTGCGCTCTGATTCGCTGTTTTGATCCGTCAATCACCTCCCGCCGGCTTTTAATTTATTTTTATTTTTATTATTTTTGACAAAAAACAGCATACTAATTGTGTATTGTTTACCCCGTTTTGACAAAAGTATTTAACAACAATTTTAAATACAAAGCAAACGGGGTCATGCGCGTCATCAGTGTGGTTTTCGTCACTGAAGTGGACCCGAGCGTTTCTGTGCCTCACGCTGGGGAAGGAGACAGATTGTTCTCTTACAAAAGATTGACAGAATCAATGAATAAACTACTGTGGGCTTGTGTATGAAGGCCAAATAGCATTGTAATCATGTTTAAAGCAGAGAAAAGTCAAAAACCGTGATATGGGCCCTTTAAGAGACGCTCTCTTTATTCAAGGCTAGGTTTAAAACAGTCCTCTTTAGTTTAGCATATGGCAAGGAAGGTAAGACTCAGGGAAGGCTAAACTCCTCAGACTGTCAGTCAAGTTGCATAGGGAGCCCCCTGCTGGAGAAGTATGGTAACTTGAGCACCATCCTCTCCTCCTTCCTACTTAATCTGTTTAGCATTATTAGGATTTTGACTGTAGTTTGTTCATTGCTATTCACCCATTGTCCCATTGTCTGTTTCATGGTACGATGACGGGATCTCTGAGCCTGGCCTCCTCCATCTACACCTGCGGACTGCCCCGCCCGACCCGCCTGGGAGTGCTTCAGTCCTGCACCGGACCTGTCCCCGTTCAGCGGCCACTGGTCCACGTCCTGTAGCTAGCTTAGGTCCTGGATCATTAGCCTGTCCGTCCGGAGTAGCGGATCCCTTTCTCATATGGGTCTCCCTCCCTGTGGGTTTCCCTAGTTCTCCCCAAGGTTTCTCACTTTTTCCCACTGGGTTTTTTAAGAGTTTTTCCTTGTGGATGCAGGAGGGTCTTGTTGGACAGTTAGTGTCCAACAGAAAGGATTGGTGATGATCAGGACACTTTAGCATTCTACAACATGTATGGACATTTTCTTCTGTGTGTGCTTTATATTCTTCATGTGTTTTAACTGTTGATTCTCTGACCTGTGTTGGTGATTTCAATGGTTTTGTTAAGTCCTCTGAGATGACTTCTGTTGTGACCTAGGGCTATACAAGAATAAATTGTTTTGTAATGTATTAAACAACACTGACTTTAACACAGCTCTAAGCCTCGGCTCCACTAGTGCACTAACTAAACTACAGAAGCAACTAGTCACAGGTTCGTTGGGAGGAAACTAGGAGACAAACCCGTTATTTAAGGAAACAACTGAGGATTCAGTCTACATTAAACTGATGAGAACACGTGAAGAGACGAGAGTCCTATGGATCAAGGATCTACAAGAACTGGAAAACCTGGACTGAGTCCTTAAGGACGACACTCAATGATCTAAACTGGATCAGTTTGTAAGGATTAGTAAGTATAAGTTTGCATGACGTAATGACAGACATCGACCCTGAACTTTTATACAAACATAAATAATGACTGCAAATATTACAGAGAACATCAAATATCGTCTTTATTCAGACTGATGTAGAGTCAGTGTAAACTCTGCTTTTAAATGGAAGTATCTTAAATCTCACTTTGAGAATAATAAGGCCTTCCTGCAGCTTCAGAATGATATGTTCAGACAGAACAGGAACAGTCAGAATGATGGCTCTGTACATAAATAAACTCTGCTCAAATAGTAAAAAATATGACTTTTGTTGTGAAAGACAAAATGGAATGTGTTCTGTGTGAAATTGGAATCGATAACAAGAAGAATACACTGCAAAAAATGATCAAATATGAGATAATAATTGCTTGAATTGAGTTGTTTTTATCTTAATTTAAGTTCTTTCTGACTGTCTTAAAACGAGATTTGCCAATGAGACAAGCAATTTTGACTTGACTCAAGAACTATTGCTTTATTTTCTCATTCCAAGAGAGACATGTCTTGTATCTTTTTAAAACAATATATTTTTTCTTGTTCCACTGGCAAATCTTGTTTTAAGGCAGTCAAGATGTGCTCAAATTTAGAAACATTCAGCAAAATTTGAGTATTTTTTGTCTTTAATTCCATCATTTTTTGCAGTGTATTGTATTAATTGTTCCATCCACGTCTGAAACATTAAAACCTTTTCTCTCTTTATCCAACAGAACCAGGCCCACTGTGAAAGGACAAACATTAATCCACAATATATTCACCAGTGTGGAAGAGATGGAGAGTGGTGTAATAATCTGACTTTAGGATCAGGACGTGACATAAACAACATTACTGTTAGCTATTGGAGGAAACAAGGAAGTACTGGGATACTCTTCTTATCCATGCATTTGTCTCCAGTAGGTTAGACTACTGCAATGGCCTGCTCACAGGTCTGTCCAAACAGGCTGTAAAACAGCTGCAGTACATTCAAAATGCAGCAGCTCGAGTCCTGACTAGAACCAGGAAGTACGACCACATTAGTCCAGTTCTCAGGTCTCTGCACTGGCTTCCTGTGGCTCAGAGAATAGACTTTAAAACAGCTCTGCTTGTTACAAGTCTCTCCATGGCCTCGCACCAAAATATATTAGTGACATGTTAGTCCCATATGAACCAGCCCGGACTCTGAGGAGCACAGGGACTGGACTCCTGTTAGTGCCCAGAGTCAGAACTAAACATGGGGAGGCTGATTTTCAGATTCATGCTGCTAAAATCTGGAACAATCTTCCTGAAGATGTGAGACAGGCCTCCTCTCTGACAATGTTTAAAACCAGGTTAAAGACAGTTCTGTTTAGCTGTGCATACAACTGAGGGATTTTATATTTTTATCTTTCTTTTTAATGTACTGCGATTATTTTTGATTTGAATGCTTTCTTATTTTGTTCAGCACTTTGAGTTGCCTTGTGTATGAATTGTGCTATATAAATAAACTTGCCTTGCCTACTGGAAACACTCTTTGTAAATAGAATGGAGTCATTTATTGAAAAACACAACATCCTAACAATCAATATGGATTTAGAAAGGACAAATCAACTGAACTTGCATTATTGTCTGGACTAGTTTTCCTCCTTTGATCTTCCTTCATGGTCCCAAACAGACGACATATTTGTATTCATCAGTTCATTTCTTTGAATGAGGGCAGTACATATGAATGTGTCAGAAACAGCTTCAACATCAAGATGCTGGAATTAGCACAAAAGCTAAAATGCATCCTTTGTCCTAAAGCGGCAGAAGAAACACATGTTTAATATATATGCTCTGTATGTTCATGGGGAGGCTGCACCTTTTTACTTCTTTCTCCATTTAGAGCCCACCACTTGGAAACACAAATACATTTGTACAAACACATTGATATTGTAAATATACGGGGAGTCACGTGACGCGCTTGGCAAGTATGGCTGCTTGAGAGCGCTCTGCGCCTTCCCCGCACTTTATTTTATATTTTAATGCAACAGGGCGCGACCATTCCTACGCAGTAGTACTCCCATTGGCTATTATCATGCCGAACACCACGAGAGGCGCATCCAAAACGACCACGACAACGGGGATCGGGGGCAGTAAAAGCACCGAGGATGCTAGCATGCGTCAAGCTAAGGCTAATGCTAACCAAAGGCCTCCATCTTCTCCTCCACGCTCTGGGATGGAGGAGGCGCCCGCTGCGGATTCTCCCAGTGTACCTGGTGAGGTGGCACGGGAGCTGGCTAAGCTCTATGCGCTTATATTGGAGAAGTCTGACAGCCATGATAAGAAACTGGAGGAGATTCGCATCACAACGTGTGCCACGGAGAGTAAGCTAGTCGACATTGCTAGCCGCATTAGCAACGTGGAAGGTCGCCTGGGGTTTCTGGAGGACGCACAGGAAAGGCTGGAGGCCAATCCACCGGCTACTAGCAAAGAGGTTGAAGTGCTCAGGGAGAAGCTGGATGATGTGGAAAATCGTGAACGTAGATGTAACCTACGCTTCGTTGGCTTCCCCGAGTCGTGTGAGAATAATGATGCTGTCGCTTTCCTGGAGGGAATAATTCCGACGCTGTTTGACATTGACTTCGCCAAAGGATTGGAGATTGACAGAGCACATAGACTTGGAGCCATGCCTAGACGCCAGGATGGTGACCAGTCCACCCGCCCCAGAGCCATAATAGCGAGATTTCTGAGATTTCAGGATCGCGAGTGCATCGCTGAAGCTGCACGGAAGAAGGGGAATGTCATTTGGGGAGGACGACGCATTATGGTCTTCCCGGATTACTCCAGGATGCTGAACGAAAAACGGGCTAAGTTTAAGGACTGTAAGAAACTTTTACACGATAAGAACATTCGTTTTTCACTCAACTACCCAGCTGTGCTTGTGGTGAAGACTGCGCAGGGACCCATGCGTTTTGAAGACCACAAGAGAGCCATGTCGTTTATCCACTCGCTGAACTGAGTGACTGCTCGCGATGACACACGGACTATATGAAGACACTCTTATTGTGCGGTTACTCTTCGCTAGGCACTTCTGTCAAGGTTTGTTACTAAGATGCAGAGAGGACTTTTAGAGGTGAGGGGAAATATTCACGATTTTTTGTTGTTTTTCACAACTGTTGTCTTGATAAATGCAAAGCTCTTTGTTGCAGCTAAAGTTCTAACATGTTATAATTTTTTTTATTTTTTTTTATTACTTGATAATACTTTGTTGCCAACCCACTAATGTGCGGGGAGGGGGGCGCTGTGGGCAGCGTCAGTTGAGTGTATGTTCGCGGACCTTAGTAAGGGAGGTTTTTTTGGGGGAGAAGGGGGGGAGGGGTTCACTTTGTTCCATGTTATTTTTTATTTAGTTTAGTTATATTTTCATTTTTTTCTTTTGATGCCAATACATTTAAATTCACAGCACCACTTATCATTTTGATCAATGATAACACCTAATAATTTAAAACTGATGAGCTGGAACGTCAAAGGTCTCAATAATGCCATAAAGAAAAGAAAGATTCTATCTTTTATTAAATCTAAAAAATGTGATATTGTTTTTGTCCAAGAGACACATCTATCTCGTCAAGAGTCTCAGAGACTCTGTTTTGGCTGGGTGGGCTTTGTTGGCTCATGCAGTGGAACTAGCAAAAGTAGAGGAGTAGCCACATTAATTAATAGGGGTCTGCAATTTAAATGCTTAAAACAAAGTACAGATGAGGCAGGTAGGATGTTAATTATGCTATGTGAAATTCAAGGTACAACTATCATTTTGGCTAATATTTATGCTCCCAACGTCGACGATCCGTCCTTCTTTGGCCAGTTGGAAAAAAAGATTTCTGATCTGGGGGACTATCCCGTTTTGTTGGCAGGTGATTATAACGAGGTGATGGATGGCACTTTAGACCGGAGTAAAAGTCTTAATCGCACAACAAGAGGAAATTATTCACTTAGAGCAATGTCAAATGCCTGTGCCCTAGTAGATGTCTGGCGGTTACAAAATCCAATGGGTAGGGATTATACCTTTTATTCTGCCCCGCACGCATCCTTTTCGCGAATAGATTTCTTTTTAATTTCCCAATCTCTGATGCCTGCAGTTGTTAATAGCAGTATTGGTAATATAATTTTATCAGATCATAGTCCAATTTATCTCTCCCTCATCGCTTTTAATGCTATTGCTAAAACTCCTAGATGGAGATTAAACTCCAGTCTTTTAATGGAGGACACCTTTAGAAATTCTCTTGAGTTCCAAATTAATCTGTACAAGGAGACAAATATTCCCTCTGCCCCCTCAGCTGGAGTGGCCTGGGAGGCACTGAAGGCTTTTTTGAGGGGTCATATTATTCAACAGGCCTCAATTAAAAAGAAAGAAAACATTAAACGGCTTTCTGATCTGGAGAAAAAGATCGGGATTACTGAAAAAACTTTCAAAAGGGATTCCTCTTCAATTAACTTGGTCAAATTAACAAAATTAAAATATGAATATAACACAATATTGTCACAGAAAGCTGAATTTAGTCTATTTCGGGCAAGACAAAAGTACTTTGAGGAGGGTGACAAGGCAGGAAGGTTATTGGCAAGATATATTAAACAAAGAGAGGCAATGAGTGCTATTAAGGATACAAATGGGCAGCTCCTCACAGACCCCCAAAAAATTAATGCCACTTTTACGGATTTCTATACTCATCTATATAGCTCAGAGTCACGGGCTTCTGAGGAAGATATCACTAAGTTTCTGTTGGGCTTAAACCTTCCCCAAGTGGCCCGTGACCAAATGGAGAGCTTAGATGCACCAATCACTACAGCAGAAATAATTTCAGTAATTAAACACCTTCCTTCTAATAAGGCCCCTGGTCGCGATGGGTTTACGGCTGAATTTTATAAATCCTTTCCTGAATTATTGGCCCCAATGCTACTAGATGCTTATAACGAATCATTTAAAAAACAAATGCTTCCGCCTTCGCTATCTGAAGCCATTGTCACTCTTATCCTAAAGAAAGATAAGGACCCCTCGGATTGCCGCAACTATCGGCCCATTAGTTTGACCTCTTATGACAGCAAAATATTATCAAAAATTTTGGCCAATCGTCTAGACCGTGTTATGACTCATCTGATTCACCCTGATCAGGTGGGTTTTATACGCTCCCGATACTCAGCAGATAATGTTAGAAGGTTACTGGACATTATGTGGGCAGTTCAAGATTGTCGGAATCCTATTGCAGCCATTTCATTAGATGCTGAAAAGGCTTTCAATAGGGTTGAATGGCATTACTTGTTTTTAACGCTCAAATATTTTGGTTTCAGTAGTAATTTCATCAATTGGATACGGCTGATTTACATAAGTCCTACAGCTTCTGTCCTCACAAATGGTATAATTGGTCCATCATTTCAATTAGGAAGGGGCACAAGACAAGGGGACCCCCTGTCCCCCCTTCTTTTTGCATTAGCCCTTGAACCATTGGCGGTGGCCGTTCGAAGAGAAGCTAAATTTCCAGGCATCACAATTGGTCAAAGCTGTCATAAGCTGATGCTATATGCTGATGATATTCTTCTATTTGTGTCTGATCCTCAACATTCCCTCCTGCCTTGTTCTCCTTAATCAATTCATTTTCGGATATTTCAGGCTATAAGGTCAATTGGACCAAGTCTGAAGCCCTCCCACTCACTGGTCACTGCCCCAAAGCATTGTTCTCCTCTGGTATGTTCTCCTGGCCCACAAAAGGTATAAAATATCTAGGTATTACGTTTCCTCCACAATTATCTAACCTTATTAAAATAAATTTTGACCCTCTACTTGAAAGCATGAAGGTAGACGTAGAGCGGTGGAATCAGCTCTACCTCTCAATGTGGGGAAAAGTAAACATAATTAAAATGGTCTGCACTCCCAAATTTAATTATTTGCTACAGTCTCTACCAATACATATTCAATCACCGTATTTTAAAAAGTTTGATAAGTTGTGTAAAGAATTCATATGGAACTATAAAAAGCCCAGGTTAAATATGAAAAAATTACAGAGACCTGTGGATAGTGGCGGATTGGGAATCCCTAACTTGTTGTATTACTATTATGCTTTCTCTCTCAGGCATTTATCTCACTGGTTTATGCCTCCAGAGAGAGCACCCCCATGGCTTGCTCTTGAGAGTGAGGTTTCAGCTCCATTTACTCCATCTTACTGTCTATCCACGAACCTTGCTCCTCAAAATAGGCTGCATCCCGTCATGTCGCACCTTCAAATAGAATGGAAAAAAATATCTCAAATGTTTAAATTTAACACACACCTTAATCAAACTTCAGGTCTGTGGCACAATCCAAAGCTCTGTATCAACAAAACACCATTTATGTGGAAATCTTGGTTTTTAAATGGTGTGACAATATTAGGAGATCTATATGACAATGGCACACTAAAGTAATTTGAAATCCTGGCTCGGGAATTCAGTCTGCCCAGACAGGAGTTTTGGAAATATTTGCAGGTGCGACATTTACTACAAAAAACATTTGGATCTGTTGCGGTAGCCCCTTCAACCTGTGGCATCTTAGATGATCTAAAGAAGGCATTCAAACAAGGTCATGCAGCCTCTACTTTTTATAAGATGTTACTAATGGAATCTGATACGTCACTGATGCCCCTTAAGCAGTCATGGGAGAAAGATTTAAATTATACTTTTACAGAGGCTGAATGGAAGGGGATACTTAGAAATGGGAAGCGAATATCAAGAGAGCTGAGGACTCGGTTAGTCCAATTCAAAATATTACATAGAATATACTGGACTCCTACCAGGCTGCACAGAGTGGGCTTAGCAAATAATCATAAATGTTGGAAATGCCAGGGGAATAATGGCACGTTATTACATATGCTGTGGGAGTGCCCAGAAGTTCAGGTTTTCTGGGCATCAGTTCATAGGGTACTGGGGGAGATCCTTGGCAATGATTTTCCATTTTGTAATAGATTGTACGTTCTAGGGGACCCCTCAGTTTTGAGTGCCATGCCCTCATCTCTTTCACAATGGGCCCAAACAGCGATCATGTTGGGAAGGAGGTTATTAGTAATGGAGTGGAAGTCTCCTTCAGCTCCATCATTTATTCACTGGCAGACTTCCCTAGGCCAACTAGCTTCTTTAGAGAAGCTATCTTTTAGGCTATTAAATAGATTGGAGGATTATAACCACAAATGGGGCCCCTATCTGATTTACATTCAATTAATGACGTCTTCCAGCTCAAATACATCAGGCATCTGAATAGGTTCATACTGCTGCATTTTCCAAACTTTACAGCAACTCTTGGTTTGGCATCAATATGATTATTACTTGTATTTATTTTATTTTTACTTTTTATATTCACCCTTTTATTTTATTTTTATTTATTTTTTACTGCTTATTTTCATGTTAATATCGATATTTATTACAATCATGGATACAGATGTTACATTATTTTTGCATAGGTTATCAGACCTATGCGGTGTTACATTCCTTTATTTTTTATGTTTTGTTGTTGTATGTTGTCGCAATTCACTCTAAGTCACTTGCCAAGGACTGAATCTGATATGTGGATTGTTGTTTGTTTACTGTTTAATTGTAAAAACTAATAAAGTTCAAGTCATAAAAAAAAGATATTGTAAATATACTAAAACACCATTTAAGCAACATAACATGTATAAGTCAATATTCTGTACTATAACAGAGTGGGGACATTTTTTTTCTGAACTAAACTGCAGATCAAACCTCTGTCTCCTTCTACATCACGTCACTTTGAATCTTACAGCTAATTTCCACAGTCCACAATAACGGCGCGTAAGCGTTTACTGCGCGCATATGCACTGTATCCAACAGATCAGTGAGTGGATGCAAAACAACTTCCTTCAGCTAAACGCAGACAAAACTGAAATGATTGTCTTTGGTCCCCAGAAACAAAGAGAGAGCGTCATCTGTCACCTCCAGTCTCTCTCCCTAAAACCTTCAAACAAGGTCAGAAATCTAGGGGTAATACTGGACTCAGACTTAAATTTTAATAGCCACATCAAATCAGTAACATCAGCAGCTTTTTACCACCTAAAAAACATTGCCAGGATCAAAAACATAGTGTCTAAAGCAGACTTGGAGATTCTTATCCATGCATTTGTCTCCAGTAGGTTAGACTACTGCAATGGCCTGCTCACAGGTCTGTCCAAACAGGCTGTAAAACAGCTGCAGTACATTCAAAATGCAGCAGCTCCAGTCCTGACTAGAACCAGGAAGTACGACCATATTAGTCCAGTTCTCAGGTCTCTGCACTGGCTTCCTGTGGCTCAGAGAATAGACTTTAAAACAGCTCTGCTTGTTACAAGTCTCTCCATGGCCTCGCACCAAAATATATTGTGACAACCCCAGGGTTGCCCCTATGAAGTTTTGTTTCTGCCCCTTTTATGTACACTGTGCGCTCCAGCCATGTATATACGCCCTGTCCCGTCATAGCCTCACCTCATTGGCCCAGTGCTCGCGCTGCGGGTGGAGCGGCCCTCTTCCGCATTTTGAAAATGACAGTCGCGCTCTGACTGAGAAGGAGGCAGGAGAGACTGATCGCATGTGCTCGATAGAAGCAGAATTCTGGAGGTCGTACAATCCCTCCGTGTTCTAAGGTTCTGTGCGCTACTAAAACGCTGGAAAGCTCCGCATGTCATTCCCGGAGACGCGTAAAAACGCTCGCTCCTTTTGCTCTTCCGCCTGCTCCAACACTGAAGCCTGTGCCGGCTGGGTACGTCAGCGCACCTCCCGCGTCATCGTAATGTGAGTGAAAAATATTAAATAAACTCTCTAATAGACACTCAGAAAAGCGCTCCCGTAAATATTATTCTGTTTTATGACAGTGAATATAAAAAGACTGTACCCCCTGCTCCATCAACATAGGTGCCTCAATCATACACGTGACATGTGAGTGTACTTTTTTTTTACTGTCTTCTTATTGTAAAATGTATAGTGAATAGTGTTTGATGATATTTTTCTGTGTGTGTGTTTTATCTTCAGCTTGTGCTGTGGAGCAGCTTATGTGGGGAGCTGCCTAAGCTTGTGAACTTTGGGAGGGGAAATACTTTGTTGCACAGTAGTACTGGTTTTTTGGACTGTACAAATACACTTGGGACTCTTTATTTAATTTTCTGTGTGTTTCCTCTGGTTTTTTGTCATTCACATTTTAAGACTAAGGGTTTATATTTATACATCTATATTATAAGTCCTTGTGTGACGGAGACAATAGTTCAAACTAAACCTTCAATATCCCACTTGTCAGGAGGGATACCTGGCTGGCACCCCTATAAAACCACAACCCCAAATAATAACTCTAGTACCACCACAATCCCCCAACCTACAAACCGTTACATAAAATAGTGGCACCCCAGATGGGACTTGTGAATGACAATACCACTGTGTGAAATATAGACTGCACATAAAAAAAAAAAAAAAATGACCACAGAAGAAATCACCAAAAAGCAACCTCCCTTCCTTCCCCTTGGGGAAGAGGCTTCATCCCCCCATGAAGTTAGACCCTGCACACGCTCCACCGCATACTCACTTCTGGATATGTCCCTAACTGGCATGGAAAATTTCCTTGTTTCACCAGTGATGGCTCCGCCTCCTCCGGGTCCTCTAGTAAAAGACAGGGCTGACTCTGAGACCCCAGCAATGGACATAAAGTCTGCCATGGCGGAGGTTACGGCAATAATTAAGAGCGAGGTGCACAATTTGAAAGCCAGTACTACTGAAAGAGTGGAGGAAATTATCAAAGAACAGGTGATAAAACAATACCAACACATGGATACCCAATTTGAATATTTACTTACCCAAACAAAAGCGTCCCTTGGCTGGAGACTGAATCATCAACAAGCAGACCTGCTCAAGGAATTTAATTCACTCATAGCACCGCTTACGGCCAGTATTTCCCACATACAAGAAGACATTTCCCGCCTGCAGGAGGAGCTCTCAGAGTATCGAACCACCATGAAACTGGTTGCAGAGGCGTTGACCACAAAGAACCAGTCCATCCGTGGTACTCAGCAAAGCCAATCACACATTATGAGGGATGAAACTGAGAAAACTATTTTTCAGGACCTACCGGAAACAGTACTACTCTCCAGTAGACCCCGGTTAGAGTCAACCGCTCAGCCCGGGAGAACTGCTGTACAAGTAGCATCTGGATTTTCCACATTACCACTTAACCGTAGTCGAGACATTGGGAAAAGTCCAGTGAAGCTTCTGTTCCCAACATATGGACAGCGAACAGATCCTACCGACCCACTGCAGTATTTGGAGCGCTGCGAAGATTATTTGGCCCTGCATTCTCTAAGCGATGAGGAACTTATGGCGACATTACGAAATGTTTTGCATGGCACCGCTCGAGATTGGTGGGATGTAGGCCGCCACAAGATCCGGACTTGGATGCAATTCAAAGCCCAGTTTAGAGCTGCTTTTCTCTCTGAAGATTATGAGGATGAGCTAGCGGAACGAGTGCAAACCCGAGTTCAAGGAGAAAATGAAGGCAGAGATTTTGTCTATATGTATCAATCCCTATGTAAACGGTGGAAACCTCAAATCATGGAAGGGGAAATTGTGAAGCTCATTCTTAAAAATATCAATCCTGCCTTGGCAAGCCAACTACGGAGCAGTCGAGTACCCACTGTGGATGAGTTAGTTCGACTAGGACAGCAGTTGGAGCGAGATCGGGACAATCAACAGCAATATGAGCACCGGAAACGGGCCAGTATGTCATCCACTCCCAGTGAAAATCGGGCTTCCAACAATTCTAATAACGTTGTGCGCCCCAAACAACCAAATTTCAATGCAAATCACAATCGTCCTCCGCAACCTTTCTGTTGGCGCTGTAAAGGTGATCACTCCCCGGGAACCTGCCCACGGGGAGCTACAAACTATCCACCTAGACCTCAGGTCCCCCTGCAGCCGCCTGGTAGTCACGCCACAGGAGGCTCAGCCACTCTCGGTTCTCTTACAACCGCTGGACCTTCAGGAAAATTCTGCCCCACTACAACACCTCCCTCAAGCTCCCTGCCATGCCAGTTGATGATACCCGTCAATGTAAATTCCTGGAGGGGGGCTGCCCTTTTGGACACTGGTTCCTCCTATACTCTGGTGAATGAGAGAGTGTGGAATGAGATAAGCGGAGAAGTCAAACCATGGACCAGAGGACCATTATATTTGGCCGATGGAGAAGGACGAGAACCCCTGGGTGTGAGTTCATTAACTATCACCCTGCAAACGCAGACAATCACCTTACCTTGTGTCATTTTTCCAACAAAGAGTCTTGCCTTCCCTGCTGTGCTGGGGCTTGATTTCATATCCCTCTCTGGGCTACAGTTTGATGTTTCTGAAAAATGTTACTGGTTCAAGTTCAACCAACGACAATGGTACAATTTTATCCCAGACTCTGCAACAATGTGTGATTCCCCTCAACAAATCGCTTTTTTCTCTGCTATCCCACTTGCCCAATTATTCTCCAATTCTTCCAGTGATGAACTTCTGCAAAAAGCTGTCACCAGTGCTCATCTGGACGATTTCGGGAAACAGTCATTGTGGTCTCACCTGAAAAGTAATTCTAATGTGTGTACCTCTCGCCTAGGTTGTACCAACGTACTGACTCACAAAATATACCTGGTCAATGAAGTGCCAATCAAACAAAAACCATACCGGGTTTCACCAGCAAAACTCCAAATAATCAAGGAACATGTTAAGGGAATGATCGAAAAAGACATTATTGAACCCTCAACGTCCCCATACGCTGCTCCAGTGATTCTAGTGCCTAAAAAACAGGACCCCAAACCTCGATTTTGTGTGGATTTCAGAAAACTTAATGCAGCTACACACACAGATGCCTATCCCCTGCCCAATATTCAAGAAATCTTAGAGTCTCTTGCTGGAGCAGTCATCTTTACCACCTTGGACTTAAACAGTGGTTACTGGCAAGTTCGTATGGACCCAAGAAGTCGGGAGAAGACTGCCTTTGTTTGTCCCTTTGGCTTGTTCCAGTTTAAGGTGATGCCGTTTGGATTGAAAAATGCCCCAGCCACCTTCCAACGGTTAATGGAGGTAGTCTTGGGAGATCTACGCGGGCAAATCTGCTTTGTATATCTGGACGATATTATCATCTACTCCACAACCTATCAACAACACAGCCATGACATACAAGCCGTTCTTGACAAATTACAAGAAGCCAACCTTACAGTTAATATGAAGAAAAGTCAGTTCTTCCGCTCCTCTCTGAAGTTTCTGGGTCATGTGGTATCTTCTGCTGGGGTTGCTGTGGACCAAGAAAAGATCAAAGCAGTTCAAGAGTTCCCTATTCCCCAGAACATCAAACAACTACAGAGGTTCCTAGGAATGGCTGGATGGTACCATCGCTTCGTGCCGGGATTCTCTGAACTCACCGAACCCCTCAACGCGCTGAAACGCAAAGGGGCCAAATATATTTGGACGCCCTCCTGTCAAACCTCGTTTGAAGCCTTAAAAGACCACTTGGTTTCCCCACCTATTCTGGGTCATCCTGACTTCACGGTGCCATTTATCGTGTATACGGATGCCAGTGATGTTGGGTTAGGGGCTGTTCTAGCTCAGCAACGTGAGTTAGGCACCGAGCAAGTTCTTGCCTTCGCCAGCCGAACTTTAAATAAAGCAGAGCGAAATTATTCCACGACAGAGCAGGAATGTCTCGCTGTTGTGTGGGCCATTGAAAAATGGAGGTACTACCTGGAAGGCCGGCCCTTCACCGTGGTGACTGATCACTCATCGCTGGTCTGGGTGTTTAAAACCCACAAACCCAGCACTCGGCTGATCCGGTGGGCTCTTCGGCTACAGGAGTTCTCTTTTACTGTGGAATATCGAAAGGGAAAGTACAACACTGTTCCTGATGCCCTCTCACGAGCCCCTGTGGAGGAATCCGAACATCCACTGGCAACTTGTGCTGTTGTGCTCCGATCCCAGCGGGATACTTCCCCAACACTCTCGGTGACCGATGAAAACATCTGGAAGGCTCAACAACAGGACCCTTTCGCCCAAGACCTGTATCAGCAAATTGTGGAGAAAGGAGAGGTTAATGAGACCTCCACAGTCAAGTACACTATAATCGAAGATAAGGTGTATAGAGTTGTCGAGTTACAGTAGGTCCCATTCCGTTTTGTCGCCTTTCACGCGTGAATCACACGTGAGTCTCGTGTGATTCACGCGTCTTTTATTTTCCCCCTTCCCAGTGACGTTGCAATGACCAAAACAACCACCAGGTGGCACTTGTGAGCAGGGTTACATTGGCCAGTCTCTGGAATAACCCGCAGACAATAAAACTACTGCACACTGAGAAAAGTGTTGCAAGCGCAACTTTGAACCTAAGTACTTGTATTTGCAATTTCGGACTTAAAATTTATTCTTATGGTTTTAATATTAGAAAAATAATTTCCATTTACTAAAACAAAAACAATATACCCACAAATACGTTTTGTGTGTGTATTTAACTAAATTTTGAAAAAATATTGTTGGCAGTGCAGTGCTTCTTAAATCTGACGCTATCAATAAGTGTTCAGACAAAGTAATTTCTACTGGGCGGGAGTTTGCTTCCGGTTCGGACCGTTTCCGCGAGCTTGTTGTTGGTGATGGGCGCTGAGCCAGCCTTGGACACGGTCGTGTGGTTTCCCGTGAGATCCAACTCAAAGTAAGATTTTTTAAATATATGGTGCTTTCTCTGTAAGGTTTGTCGCGTATTTGATCAAATATATACAATCTGTGGTCAAATCGTCGTTTTATTTTCTTGGCAGTTTGTGTCCAAAATTACTTCATGTTAACTGTCTACTCTAGCCCCAAACATGTTGTTAGCATAAAACTGTGCCAGTATAATGGTCCTACAATTTCGTTGTTTAGCAAAGTGATTTGTGTTAAGACTCGTAACATTACCAACTACCCCTTAAATGTTCTGAACCATAATAACAGGCGTAGTTTTCGCAGTTTGGAGCTGCTAGCTTCTAGCTAGCTGTTGCTAACGGTACGCAGCTAACATAAGTAGACCAAGGTCGCTACTGTCCTGCTCTGTCTTGTTGCCGGAGGTGCAAGTGGAAAATACAGTTGGCAACAGAAGCCACGTGACATTTATTAATCTTCTATTATTTTCTACTCTTGGGGACAGTTCATTTCCCCGCAGAAGTCCCTAGTTACATTAGCTCAGCGGAGCAACTCTCAAGGAGGAGACAGGTGCAGAGCATGGTGCGGAGGCAGAAAACATGTTTATTGCTATCTGAGATCGCTCTGATTTCCTCGCGGTCAGAAAGTAGCTTGTTTCAGCAGAAAACTAACGTTAAGTTAACAGCTACTGCATGTTGTTAATGTTATGACCCGTCCGCATCAGCATCACTGTATTATATCAAGGCCTGTCTGTTTTAGCCAATGTGCAGCTATATGGTTAGTTATGATAAGTTCAAATACATTCAGAAATCTGCAGCACATTTAAAAAACCCAAACAAAGTATAAGTGATACATTATAAACATGCATTTTTAAAAGAACATACTGAGGGTGACTGCTATAGCCTATTGCAGTCACAAAATTAGAGTGGAAATGTTAAAAATCTAATGTGACTTACATTCGCATTTCATATGAACAACATTTTGGCATGTTAATTTTGAAATAAACGATATTTTGCTGGACAAGTAGGTTTTGTTTCCGGGCAAGTAAAAAATACCTGCCACTTCAAGTACCTCAAAGCACTTAATGTCAAGTCCTGACAAGGTAATACATTCAGCTAAAGACAGGTACATGTTGTGGTATAGCATGTTTTTTGTGGAATCACGTGTAGTAACGCAAAATGCACAAAGCACTTTGTTTGTACTAATCTAATGCATTTTTTATATGTAAAAAGCAGCACCGCCTGTTTAAATGCTTATGATATTTGTCCAATGAAGAGTATTTTTTAAGCATGTTTATTAATTTTATTTTATTTTATTTTAGATTTTTCCTTTCACTGCTGCCAATTGATGGAGGAAAGCTACAGCAGGAGGTAAGTGTGATAAAAAAAGAACTGTTAATAAATTAAGTGAATGTAATGTACTCGCTAGGGATGCAATAGTTTTTTGGGGGGGGGGGCATTATACATTATACATTACACTCACCGCAAGATTTGCGGTGAGTCCTTGGCAACAAGAGAGGAGATTTTCCATCATTTGTCATTATATACGTTTTTATATCTAAATGAACACAATCAGAAATATGAAAACATATTCAAGATAAGAAGTGCTGAATACTTCCTAATTCGTGGTGTTTTTTATTTCTATGTTGTTTCGTAGGATCCAACCGCTGCTATAGAAAAGAGGAGGGAAGTCGTAATCCGAGGCCTAATTGAATACATGGGGGAGAAGCCAGGAGACTTGATTTCAGATCTACAGGTAAAATTTCCCAATCTTTTCTTTTTCAGGGTATAAAAAAAGTACCGTACCTTATGCTGATATGTCTATCATTAAGAGTAGTAGTATCACCAAATCCTCTTCATCCTCTGCATATGCTAAAAGTCAGCATATGCAGATTATTTAAAAAACATTTTGGTCTCATTTGACCATAGAATAATCTACAATCATGTAGAAAAGGTTAAATCATCTACTGGACTGGGTTTTGGTAAAGTTGAGGATGTTTCGCTTTTAGTGACACAAGCTTCTTCAGAGCTCTTAAAGTCATAAAAGAACACTTACCCAAACTGGACTAAAAACTAAAAAGACCCAGGTTCCTTCCAGAAGGAGAGAACCAAAACTGCCAAAAATGTCTATTCAAATTGTTTTCAATATCACTCAACTTTACCAAAACCCAGTCCTGGCGATGATTTAACCTTTTTATAAGATGGACACTCCCTGGATGAATGAGAGCCTTCACAAACATCTGACCATATGACATTCCCCCAGCCCTCTGGATGGAATGGTCACTGGAAAACTTCAGTTGGACATGAATGAACATGAGCTGGCTAAAGCAGCTGGACCTGTATGGTATGAATTAAAGGTGCACCGATCTGATCTGTCACCAATCATGATTGGTCGATCACGGCCTAATTTTTGTGATCGGTGATTGGTGAAATGCGCCGATCAGAGGGGCCGATCAAACGTAGATTTCAGACTTTCTTACAGTAGATAATCTGGTGAAAACTCCACAGTATAGCGCCGCTCTAAACCGAGTTTTAAATGTAATTCGTGGCTACAAAACCGCCCTGGATGAAATGCTCGGCTGTATCCCTCTGCGCATGTCGGCTCTCCTCTTTCCAGACTGCAGTGTAACTAAACAAAACAATGATGAAGCTTGAGCTAACCCGCTATCGCTATGCTTTAAGACAAAAACATGAGTTTGTGACAATAAAATATCAGCGTCTGGTACTTCTAATAGTAGGTAAAGGAGATGATTTGCCATGTACCATTATTTACATTTGCAACTACCGCATGACTTCACATGCGCGCTCCGTAAGTGATACCACAGGATATTTAACACAAAACTGTGCTATCTGAAACGCACGTGAAACTACAATCAGAGGCAGGGGTCATTGTCCTGTCTTATTTTGCTCTTTAGTACTCACTAAATGGCAGCTCGTCAAAAGGGAAAGTATGTGCGTATGTGTTTGGCACCTCATGTCGCCGTCTCCTTGTGGAAGTTCTTTTCTTTCTTCAAATATTGTCTAATGTTACTGTCAAACTAATTTAGGCAGAAATGTGAGAAATTCCACACAGTGTGCTCACTTTTTCTAAACATTAATTGAACAAACAATATATATTTGTACCGTCAAATAATTCCTGCAACATTATAACATACATAATGGCTGAATTTATGTGTTGTATCAAATATATTTAAGCTGTTACTGATGCATTTAGACACAAATTATGTAATTTAGTGACAAATCTCAAAATTAAACAGATATAATCGACTTGAAAATGTCTGCACAGCTCATCAGCCGTCAGTTTCTCTGAATAGGTTGCGTTCACGTTTTAGAATGTGATGATGGGCAGTTGTCAATACAACTCTATGGGAGAAATACAGTTTTTGTACGAACTCTCAAACAAAAATTGACAAATGTTTTTCCTCTTCAGTATTTGACAGTGATTAGATTTACTAACCCACTTTATTATTTGTATGGCTGAAAGTCCTTTCTACTGACCAACATCACGCTCATCATTTCAAAAATTGTCATTGGTTTATAATATAAACCAATGACAATTTTTGAAATCATTATGTGCTGAAAGAGGAGTCAATGAACTTTGAGACAGTTTTTTTCATGTGGATTCTCCTAGTAATGATCTCAGTCAATACTAGGAGTACTACTACTCATTAACCAAAAACTAAGACAAAAAATATGCAGTTTGCCAGTTACCATAGTTAACGCCATGGAATTTTCACTTGCCCTCCACCTCAGTTTTAAATGAACACGTGAACACAACCTATTGCATTGACTATCAAAACATATCAATGTCTAATGTATTTTTCCCTCTCAAATAGAGTCTGGAGGAAACTGAAGACACTCGGCAGAATATCGCCTATCCAGTGAAGATTGTCAAAGTTGGTGACACGTACGAGATCAGCATTGATGGCCTTCAATGCATTACAGGTTTGGGCACTGTAGCCAAGGCCTCCTGTATTCTTGTTGGCGTTATATACGCATTGGACTTGAAATACCCACCCAAGCTTCAGCACACATTTGAAACTTTTCAGAGATTACTGATTGGTCTCAGTCCTGTGAAACCAAGAGCATCTGTGAGATACAGTTCACTCCTTAAAAAGCTGTCTTAAAGTTTGAATTAAGGAATCCTCACTTTTGACCCTGTTCTAACATTGTTCAAATATAAAAAGTGTTTGAAAATTCAAAATGGTGAGTTATAGAGGCTTAGAAGCACAATGTATCAGTTTTGTG